GATAATAAAAAGAGCTCTGTCATCTTAGATGACAGAGTAACGAACTCGGAGTATGACCGACGCTCGCGGTTCTACCTGTTAGGCGACACCGTTCGCGATAAAAATAAAGTATAATGTATAAAGGCGTATTGAATAAAACATTTTGCTTGCAAGAAAATGTTAATAAAAGTAGTAACAGTACCCACCTTTTGCGTCGCGCGGAGTGAAGCCGGAGACCAAGGATACCACGTACAAAAGTTTCAACACAATCCCGGCGTGTACTACGAAAAATACGGGACAATGCTCCACGCTAGCGAAAAGTGGAGACTAGTTGTAAGATTGGAAGTATCAACGGTATACACAAGAACGGAACGAACGGAACGTATGTTAGACTATACAAATAAGGCGTGCGAAAATGCGACGATAACGCGCAGGAATAGAGAACTGTGCGAGTGGTTTGTCGCGGAGTTACGACAAAGATTGCAAAAAGTGGAAAAAATAGTAAAACGCGTTAAAACTATAGTGGAAACACAAAAACGTCGTCGAAGGGGGTTGGTTAAGGCAGTAGGTTTCGTCGCGAAAATTCTATTCGGTACAATGAATGCCGAGGACGAGAAGCGAGTTTCGGAACAAGTAGAGTTGTTAAACAAGAAACAGGCTGTCTTGCAGCACGTGGTTAAAAATCAGCTGCAAATGATAAACGCGACTATTGCTCACGTAGAAAACATTGAAGAGGTCGTAGAGAGAAACGAAAACAAGGTAAAACACGCGATAGTTAAAATAACACAAAAGGTAGACAGTTACGCGCAGCAAGCCGAACTTAGCGAATATTTTATGGAATTAGGCAGCATGATTACGGAACTCGAGTTCGATGTGGAAAGTAGCATGGGTTACGTCACGGACGTACAAGCAAAGTTTGCGCAATTAGAGATGGTACCCGTTGAACTAATAATAAAAGGCCTTCAGGACGCGAATAATTGGTCTGCCCACGGATTACATTTTTCATTCGTCATAACACTGGAAGAGTGGTCTACAATAAAAGAATACGTTACGGTTAGCGTGTATTGTAAGAACGCGAATGTGTGTACCGTCGTCAAGTTTCCACTAGTAGCTCCGGTAGAATACGACTTGTTGAGGGTAGTGCCCTTGCCGGTGCACGACCACGATAATGTTTTTAAGGTTGCACAAGTAAAGTTCGAGATAGTTGAAGTAGATTAAAATAAACAAACATACTCCGTTGTAAAATTGCGTCAGCTAAAGAAATGTAAAAACGTTGGAGATAATTATGTCTGCGATAATATAGAATCGGTGTACAAGGTACACGCGGACGCACCATGCGAGTTGCAGGCATATGTTAGTACATCAGGGGAATTTTCCAATTGTAAAGAGGAAACTGTGATTTCGAACTACACGATATGAATAAGGCTAAAAAAAGCGCGTGTATGGCTGTACTCAACCCCGAAAAGCGAGTCGGTGGTAATATCGTGCGAAAACCGAAGAGAAGCAACGGAAACTGTAAACAGAGTCGGAAAGATAAAGTTGTCGGAAAAGTGTAAGTTGGTGACGTCAACTGTAACGATTCGCACCAACAAGGTGATGGACGGTGAACAAAGTAACACGTATTTGCCACGATTCAATCTTTCGATGCTAAAAGCAAAAGAACGAACGGTTGGTGAGGAGCCGGTGGTGTTAGAAAGCATAACACAGAATAAAACACAAATTGAGAAAATAAAGTCAGAGGTAACGGAATTAACGGACGAAATAAACGAGAGTTCGTTTTTTGAAAATCCGCATCTTATCTATCCGACTACGTCAGGTGTAACGATAAGAATGATAATTATTGTACTGGTTATATATAAAGTCGTAAGAAATAAAGAAAAAGCGGAATTGGCACGCGTTGCCGTGAAATCGCGTAGCTCGGAACAGCGCGCAAAACGTCGAAACCGTCGCGCTGTAAGTATGCCGCGTAGGATAGTATGTAAGATATAAAGGTAGTGTAAGTAACATGCAAAAATTGCACACAAGTAGGTAAAAAATTGTGACGGAAAATGTTACAGACATTTCCCTTTTTCCCGGAAGGGGGAAATGTTGTGCGCCAATTTTTGTATTTTAAGTTAAGAAAGTCCTGGAGCGAGAAGCGAAATCAGCGCTGGGGTCTCTGCCCGGAAAGTGGCGCCTTCAAGTGGTTGAGTTAATCTGTCCTTGTTTTAAAGTGAGACGGGCTAATCGCGCTGTCTATCGCGTTACCGGTCTTTCGTCGCACAGCTCGAGCCGGTCAGCACCGAGAGTACCGAAGTGGTGGGGATACGCACACAAGCGAGAACCGCCGTC